CAACTTGTTGAAAATTAATTATCGTTGAAGACTTGAAGACTTCAATTCACCAACTTCATAATTTTTCATAAATTGTAACAATAAATTAAGTCATTATAGAAGAAAATTAGAGAGAGATTGATGATTTTGTGAGAAAAATGAATGAATGAGGGAGTATATATAGTTGAAAATAGGGAAAAGTGTAATTATAAAAAGTTTGGGATTAAAACAAAGTTGGGGGTTAAATGGCTATTTTATAAATAGCCAACGACTATTTTGGCAGAGGAAACGATTAGATTTTAAATGCCCAAACGGGCAGATTATTTTTACAAATTATGGTTGTTGGGACCGTTTGGGACCGTTTAGGCCCGCTAAGACCTGTCCGGTCCCTATCTCAAACGGTCCGGTCTCGCAGGCCTCAAGATAAGGACCGGCCCACTTGTCAGGCCCGCCTCCCCTGGTCCTGGTCTTAAACGGTTCAGCCTGTTTAGGCGCACTGCCCACATGGGCCGCGGTCCTGGGCCGGTCCCGGTCCTGGACCGGCCCACTAGCCAGGTTTACCTTCACGCAGTTGCCTCGTCACATCTTCTTATGGGAGCTTCCCTAACTTTGACGGCTGATTGGGATTGTATCCAGCTTTTGCAAATAGCCTGTAAGCTTTAGGATCAAAACCTTCATCTGTCCGTTGTGTAGGGAGTGCCACATTCTGCAAACGATTTTGGGCCACAAACCCTGCAAGTGGCTTTGAGGACAACTTTACTGCCTCAATTCGTTACCGGAAGAGTTAACTCATTTAGCATGTTAGTTTGGATATTTGATGATTCGCCTTCATCTTTTTTCCTTTTAGGGACATATTGGAGTGCAGGAGTTACTTTCTTGCCATATGACGTAATATCCCCTCTATAATATTTACTCGAGTTAGGTTGCACCTCTTCAGTAACAGCTTTGGCTCTACTAGCAGTCACCTCAGCTCTTTTAGTTGTGGGCTCGTCATTCTTGCTTTTCATGACATTATCATCTTTTAGCTCCTTCACAATGCGGTTCTTCAAGTAGAACTTTGCATCGGTGAAGTGTGACTCAGCCTTGGTGAATGGCTCATCATCAGCAACTATCTTCTTCTCGACTTCACCCTCGTAGTATTTTAAACATTGATGGTTGGTAGATGGAACTACTTTATTTTCATGTATCCAAGGCCTTCCAAGCAAGACGTTGTATGAAGTCTTTGCATCGATCACATGCAACCATGCACTTGATTGCATATCTTTAATGGTAATTCCCAACCTGATAGCACCTATGGCTCTTTTCCCCCCTTGGTTGAATCCTTGAACCATCACACGACTTTCCGAGAGTTCATTCATGGGAATACCAAGTTCTTTCACAGTACGAATTGGCAAGATGTTCACTGAGGATCCTCCATCAACCAAAATTCGATTTACCCTTTCATCGCGCATATAGCCAACCAGGTACAACATGCGGTTATGAGAAATGTCACCTAGTAGAAGATCATCATTTGTGAACGTAACATTTTCCTCACAAGCATTAACTTCTTGAGGAATGGAGTCAATGAGCTTTTCCAAAGATGGTGTCGATGGTAGGTCATCACTCTTTTCTTCCCCTTTGTCAGTATGGCAACAAGAGGCACCAATCCCTTCATGGGAAATCTTCGTGCGGAACCAACTTGGTAAGAACTCCTCTAAGGTCACTAGATGTCGTGACTTTTGAGGATGGTACACCTTCACTTTTGCTTTCTTCAAATGTTTAACTGGATTCTGTCTCCTTGGTCTTTTCACCATCATTTTCCTTGTTGGTTTTTTTATTGATTCATTTCGTGGGCTCCTTTTGTGGAACCTACGGTGAGTCACCAACGTCCAACCTTCATCATCATCATGGTCGTCTACTTCGACTTTGTTATTCTCTAGTAATTCTCCATCTTTGATTTCTTTTAAACTACATAGCTCATCTAGACTGAATGAGCCAAAGGTGATAGAGACTTGGTTCGCACTTGCCTTCTCATCTTCAAGCACGATCTTCTTTTCACGGGCCAAGTCCATAACTTTGTCCTTGAAGAAAAAGCACTTCTCGAGAGGGTGGCTCACGAGTTGATGGTATTTGCAGTAATTTGGGTCATTCATTTTACCAGCTTCATTTAGCCGCTTCATCTCTGGAAGCTCAATGGGATTTAACTCGAGGGGTTCTTCAAAAATTACTGGCACATCAGAATCCAGAAATGGGTACTCCTTCTCTTGCATTTCTTTTAGATTCAACTTTCCACTTGGTTTATCTTGAAAAGAAGTGGATTTCGCACTCTGCTTCTTGCTCACCTTCATTGTGAACTTCATAGGTGATGTGTGACATTCATAGCTTCTTTGTTTTTAGACTTGGGTACAAACTTGCTCTATTTCCTGACTTCTTGCTTGTCGTTCCCTTTGCAAGGCTCATAGATAGGAAACCTTTCATTTCCAGCGGAGGCCATGCTTAACTCCATGTCATGGTCACGAGTCGCAAGTTCTTCAAATGTGCTAGTCTTGATACCTTGCAAGATGTAGCGGAGTCCCCAATGCATGCCTTGGATGCACATCTCTATGCCCGAAGCTTCACTAAGCCTGTCTTTGCAGTTGAGGCTTGCATTCCTCCAATGATTGTTAAAGTCAATAACTGTTTCACCCTTTCGTTAACGAGTATTTGTAAGTTCTATCATACTCACAATACGTATCATGCTATAAAATCGATTGAGGAATTCTTGCTCTAGTTTATCCCAACTATCAACAGATCCAGCCTCGAGGTCTGTGTACCAATCAAAAGCATTTCCTTTTAATGCGCGTACAAACTGCTTGACGAGGCAATCTCCATAAGTCCCAGAATTGTTGCATGTCTCAACGAAGTGCGCCACATGTTGCTTTGGATTGCCTTTGCCATCAAACTGTTGAAATTTTGGAGGTTGATAGCCAGCAGGCATCTTCAACATATCGATCCTTGAAGTGATGGCTTTGCATAGGTAAAAGGGGACTTAGAAGCAACTTCATATTTGTTTTTTATAGTCCCTTCAATGAACTCTTTTAGTTGATTGATTATAAGTATCCCTTCCGAAGATACTGGAATTTCCTTAGTGGATGTAACTTGTCGTGGGGGAGGATCAATCACTTGAACTTCTGGGAGTTTGCTAGGTGCATGGGTGGATTCTTCTTCCATCAAGATTCCCACCCTGTCTGTTAGCTTGTCAATTCTAGCATCTTGATTTTGCATGCACTTGGTCAAGCCAGCGATTGTTTCCGTCAAGTTTGCCAACTGCTCTTCCACAGATGAAATATTTGTCACCATGGCTTGCATGATTGTTATAGATGATGGGGAGTGGCATGGATTGTCACACATATTGATTCTCGAGTGCCTCATGCTATGCGGTGTAAGTGGGGAAGATCCGTCACTTGAAATATCATCATCTTCCTTCACAATAGAGTTCTTGGATCCTAAGAGGTCAAGCAGAGCTAGAGTTTTCTTGATCTTTTCAGCAATATCACTTCCTCCTTCGGATACGTTCGTAGAGGATCTTCCTCCTTTTGAGGATGAAGATCCAAAAACAGGGGTTGATACGAACGGCACTTGGAGTACTTATTGTCCCAAAGAGCTTGCTTTTCTCCTCATAACTGGTCCAAAGCTTCCAAAGGTAACATCGAGAATGCTTTCCACATCAGCATAGAATCTGGAGTTAGCAGCCTTGGTGGATGTTGATCTGGAGTTGATTTTCTTTGAAACCATTTCGACGTTCGTGAACTTTGATGATTGAAAAGTTGAGATGAGATGTAGAGATTGTCCCACTGGGCATGCCAGAATTTGTAGACAATAAATTTGTGTTGAGAAAATAAAATCGAGACCGAAAATATTGCAACAATCGTAGTATTTTATTTCAAATATTTGAGTGTTACAATCTCTATGGTTCCTCTGATTCTACTTTTCTAATATAAATTCAAGGTCTTTGAGCTTGATCTTGAACCTATATTTGTTTCCATAAACGAAGATCGTGGATTCAACTAGCATGAACTTTGATTTGAACTCGTACTCCTTGAATCTTGATTTGTTCTTCGTTTTTGAGCTTGAGCTTGATTTGTACTTTGTTCTTAAGCTTGAACTTGGTTTGTTCTTCGTTCTTGAGCTTGAACTTGATTTGTTCTTCATCCTTTAGCTTGAACTTGATTTGTTCTTCATCCTTTAGCTTGAACTTGATTGTTGAACTTGAACTTGATTGCTTGAAGCTTGAAACATGTGGAGGAATTTGCAGCGTTTGATCCACGAGCACTTTGTTGCTTCTTGTTATAACTTCTGGTGTCTTTTCTGGGTTATGAAGACCCCTATTTATAGTTGTTGAAGGGAAGAGTTATGATAAGAACAAACTCTTTCCGACCAATTAAATTGAAGTGTGACTAGGCCGCATTTGATTGGCCAGAATATGTCACTTGCACACGTGGCGCGGTTTCATTAGCCTTTTAATTTGGCTTGGCATGTCTTGTCATTTTGACACGTGGCACGATCCTATTGGCTCTTTCGTTTGACTTGGCTGACATTTTGGGCTTAATGAAGTGGGTTCATCACTTTAGCCAAATGGATTAAGACTTATTTATTTAATCCATATATATTGGACTTATATAATTAATTTAAATATATTAGCCCATAATATTTATTTGGACCAATATATCTTGAATTTAAAATATAGTCCAAATTTTTTTATGGGTTTAATTTTTAACAAAATTTATATGCCTACAAATGCCTATTAGCTTTCTATGTGTTTCATGGAGAAAAACATATGATGATTTCCTATTTAAAGAGGTAGTGATGTGTTCCTACACTGTGCAATTTAGAAAATCGCCCATTTAAAATGAGTTGCTACAGTGTAAATGTATCTACACACAAAGTTTTATCTCAAATAATAATGGCAGGAGGTAAGTTGATTTTACTATTCCGCTGCAATTCCCCTCTCTATATGTGTTGGACATTTTTAGGATGTGTAAATATCTTACCGTAATAGGCAGTGACAATATCCGTATCAAATTGTCTAATTCAGAGTTAAATAGACTACAATTTGAATACGAGTTTAATACCTCAAATAGACTACTCTGTTGGGAAAGAATGAATACAGAGTGACCCCCAAATCCTACACTTTTAGAAACGTGCAAAATTACAGAGTCAACAATTAACCACATGATCCAACACGATACTGTTCACCATGTGATGACTGATGAGCGAGTTGCTTGTGAGAGTATACACGGGAAGAGGCACTGGCATTTTGCTCTGTGAGTATAAAAATTAGTAGTAAAATTATAAGATTAATTAATTGTCAAATAAATAAAGTACTTAATTAATTGAAGCAATGCGTACTAGTAATTGGTGCATTACCGTCTTATCCGTGTGAGAAGATTCACTTTCTTTGCTCTTTCCTTGCAGAAATCATGCGACAGGTCATGAACCGACATGCTTTGATCTTACCACCAGAACTCCTTTTAGTTCCCATCGCTAGATTTCTTCCGATAAGATTCCCCAAATAACCTTATGCTATTTACTCCAAATTCTTGCCTTCGCAACTTTTTACATTTCCTTCAGAGACCCCTAACTATGTTAACTTTGAAACACTAATCACACTAATCACTATGATCTAAGAATCTTCCAAAATAAGCAAACATTTGAGTCTGTGAATGTGGGGGCATAAATTGTTGACCATTTGTTCCAAACATTTTTCTTTCTTCTCCGTCTCTGCCAGAATACCAGCTACCATAATAACCGAAAGAGGCAGCTGACCGCACCTTTTTGCTATTTCTTGCCCAATAATTGTTAGGAGAGGGGAGCAGCTTTCTTCCCCAAAGTACTTTTTTAGTAGCTTCTAACTTTCATCTCCTTTAAACATCCCAAGCAGAAGGGGTTCACTTTTAGATCTAATACGATTGGCTACTTTATAATTTCGTGTTGTTAAAATGACTCTACTTCCATTTTTGGTAGATGGAAGACAACCTATCACATCATCCCACACACTAGCTTCCCACACGTCATCAAGAAGGATAAGATATCTTCTGCCATACAATGTTTTCCAAAGCTCAGCAGCTAATTCAACATCACTGATTTTTCTATGTTCAAAGCGTCTACCAGTAAGAATATGTAGAATCTTCATTAACAACTTCTCACGTGAATGTTCTTGAGACGCATAACACATTGCACGCACGTCAAAGTGATAAACAACTAACTTGTCACGGTAGAGTTTGTAGGCCACAGTCGTCTTGCCTATACCTGGCATGCCAACAATTGAGATAATTTCTCGCCCTCTGCTTCCTTTTGTTAGTAATTGGTCTCTTAACCTTTCGGTGACATTATCAATACCCTCAATATTTTCAATCATTGCTGGAGCCCTTGCCAAATTTGATGCTGTACGAGCTGTGCCAGTATTCATTGTATCTTCAACCATGTTCTTTCTGTGAATCTCTGCTACCAGTGAGCTGATAAGAGTAATCTCCTGTATGATATCTAGGAGCCAATGCTCGACAAATGAGTGAGGAAATTCTTTGCTTATACCAGCATCAACTACATATTCCACCTCATATGCTTTGTTAATCAATTGTGTAGTATGATCTTGAAGTGCCTTGAGCCTATTGTGTTGCGCTTCAGCAACAGACCTTAGAAAAGGTTGCAAGCTCTCCAATTCCTTTTCAATAATTTGAAGTTGATTCTTGACAAAAGCAAGTGAATCTGAACAACGGTCTTGGAACTCCTTCAGGTTGCTTAAGAGGAAATTAAAATAGCTTATTCTATGGGTACTTCGGAAATTAGATTGGAACACCTTCCGGGTTATGTGGTAGATCAGCATCTTGATGAGCTGATTGGTACCCTGCAAATCTAGAGCTAGCGCTCCATTTGCTTTCTCCAACACCACCTCTTCCTTCTCCTCGTTATCATATAATGAGTAAATGAGAAGTCCGACATCAACCATCACAGTGTCAATATCTCGAAAATGAAAATCAAGAACTTGTAATGACAGATTACGGATGAAATTGGTAATAAAGAGGCTGAGCATCTCATGAAGGGTTGCTATCTGATCATTCCAAGCAGCTATACGAATGGGATTGTTAATGATTGGTAGCTCATTCAAGTTGTGTTGGAGAGTCTCCACAAAGCCAGCTTCACAATCAGCTACATGCTCAATTTTGATATTGGCACACCATCGTGATTGTATTGTCGACTTCAATGCTTGGAGGACCTCGATATAGATCTTGCGGGTGCCTGGTTGGATGAGCTTAATCTTTGTTCGCAGGAGATCAGATAGCAAACCATTCATTTCACCGGAGGCCAAGTCTTGATTCTCGTTGCTACGGCCTGGCAAATACAACCAGGAGAGCATTGCTGCGTGGCCGGCCACAGCTAAAATGTGAGTGAAGAAAGTACGCTGACTCTGAGGCTCTAAGCATCTGTCTGAAAGAAAGCAGACGAAATTTCTCTGCAACTTCAACTCGTTCAAGACATCTTCGAGTTCTTTCTTGGGTCCCGGAACAAAAAGTAGTGAACTGGAACCATAGATCTTCATTAAATCACTGAGATTCCCTACAACAGTGTCAATGAATTCCATTACGAATTCGGCAGTAGCAATACCGTTCTTGTAGGCTACTATTTTGGGAAAGGAGTATTCAGCTTTCATTTCCAACTTAGTAATCCAAAGCTTCTCTTGCAACTGAGAGATAACACGATCGACGTGCTGGATCTTGCTGGTCTTTCTGAGGTCAACGGAAGCTTCTTGAAATAGAGCGTGCACTTTACGTGTGACATGTAGCATGTCCCATCGATCTGTCAATCTCTGCAAACTGAGGAAAATATCAAGAAATCCGAACTCCCTTTTAAGGAACTTGATTCGATCCTGTGAAATCTCTGGCATATCTAAACCCAGTTGATCTTCAATCTGCTGCAGAGGTTCAAGGGGATGGTATTTCATTGAAGATGGGTATTTGTTTGAAAGCATCTCTCTCCCTCTTTCACAAAAGTAGTTAGTTAGTAATAAGAGAAATTGCTATGGGAATCAACTGCCAGGGGAAGAAGGAGAGCTACAAATTAGACGTCTGAGACAGCCTTTAAAGTTTCTTTACTCTCTTTGGTTTCCGCTTGTTCAGAATTTTATATTTAGGACTTAATTGTTTCCAGTTGTCATTACATTTTATTTATTTGCTTCAATTAAACAATAAGTAAACTTGTTGCGCGTCCACATTATTTATACTCCTTCCTCCGTTGCACTTAATCTATTTTTTTTGTCCGTTCAAAAGTAAATGACCTATTTTTAAATTTGAAAAACACTTTAGCTTAAACTTTCAATTCTATCTTTAATGAGAAACTTTTATAATTACACAAATACTCTGGACCCCTTTTTGACTTGTTTAGGACCACAACAGTCAAACAAGTGCACATACATTGAAACGGAGAGAGTACCTTTTATTAATGTCCTCGAGGTTCCTTTTCCCTTATACTTTGTCAATTATTACATGAAAGACATAATATGTCACGCCCCGAATTATGGATTAACTAGCATCGAGTGGACCATTGTGACTATATAATTAACCTTTCCATGTACACATGACTCCTTACGTGCATCTCACATCGGAGTGGAAGGAGAAAGTGAAAGATTTATAAGACATAACACAAATTCATATGGTACACGTTTTTGCGCTGGAAGATGACGTAGCTCAAGAGATAAATTCGTAAAATCTAGCATAAAATGTGTAATAACTAAGCTTGAAGCGAGTGTGAAGTTAAAAGTAACAAAGAAGAAAAAAGCTTTTGGCTGGAAAACACTATGAGTGTGTTTGACTAAGCTTATAAGTTGGTCAAACTGGTTTATAAGCACGTTTTGGCTTATCTACGCGTTTGTTAAATATCCAAAGTACTTATAAGTCAAATGCTCATAAACTAAAATCAACCATAAGTTATAAGTTGGTCATCCTCATCTTATGACTTTTTAGCTTATAAGTAGTTTGTATACGGCCAAAATCGATCAGTCCGTCGTACGAACTGGTCGAGATGGTAATACTTTGATCGAAGAGCGTCTTCGTAATATCAGATTGAGGTCCGAAGTTAGGTCATCAAGCTTTGAGTTCTAGGACCGATCAATGCCAAGCTCGATATCATTATAGAGCTCGAATCCAAATAGAGCTACAAAGCGAAATTATCGAGCTTAAGATTCATAGACCGACCGGCACCAACCCCGAATCGATATCAGACTCAGAGTCGGAATCGAGCTCAAGTCAAGATCAAGAGCTTGAGTCAATACTGAACTCGAGTCAATATCGAGCTCATAGACAAGAGCTGTTGCAACCGCACTAAGGGAGAGAATCCTGGCAGGAATTAGGGAAAAGCTAATTCATCATGGGTTCCCCACTATGTATTTTTTATTATATCTAAAGCAGGATCCCTCCACTATAAAAGGGATGATTGTTGTTTCTGTAAAGCAGTGAGACATTCACATTGGAACAAGAACGCTACTTTCTCATATTGAAATATTAACCTTTTCAGCTCCATCACTTCATCTTATTTTGCTTATTCATTTTTCCCCTTTCTACTGTGTTTATCTTTTTTTCTTTATAGCCAAGATTGGATATTTCTATTTCTCTTTACGATTTGTGTCAAGTTATAATATATACCCTTAGAACTACGTACAAATTCAACTCTATCCTATTTCTCGGATAAACAATTTGTCGCCCACTGTGGGGCTGAGGATAACAGTGGTTATTTGATACAAATCTACAACACACGCCATTTTACGCTTGTCTTTTGAAAACCCTCGATTAATGGCTTTACCTATCGAAAACGAAGCCGGCCTTCAAGATGAAACCAATAACTTGACGCTCAGGGCCGGAGGGCTGCTTATCGATGTCGTGGAAGCTCGGGTCGGAGCACCTAAAGCTTGAATTGAAGTACCACTAGACGTTAATTCACATGTGGCCCTTGAGGAAAACCAACGTTCTGAACCTGAAAATAGCGTTCATGGCGGGACTCGATCTGCAGCTCGAGACACCCATAATGTTGAGGAAAACGGAGTCAGCTTGCGTATGATTTTTGAAATGCTACAAGCCCAACAGGTAGTGATAGCTCAGTTGCAGAGCCAAACCCAGGTACCAAGCAGGCCAGAGCCCAGTCTACCTCGAGAAATTGCCCACAAAACAGAGCCAGCCATAGTAAGGTCAAATGAGCAAGAATCGGGGACAACTCCCAAAATTGCTAAGATACTCGAGGAGCTCACAGAGTGGATTGAAGCAAACGATAAAAAAGTGGAAACATATAACTCCAGGGTCGATCAGATCTCGGGGGCACCACCAATGATAAAAGGGTTGGATTCCAAAAAATTCGTGCAAAAGCCTTTTCCCTCGAGTGCAGCCCCAAAACCAATCCTAAAAAAATTTTGTATTCCCGAGATTCCCAAATATAACTGAACTACCGACCCCAACGAACACGTCACCTCTTATACATGTGCCATCAAGGATAATGATTTAGAAGATGACGAAATCGAATCTGTGTTGTTGAAAAGATTCGGAGAGACCCTCTCAAAGGGAGCAATGATTTGGTATCACAATCTACCACAGAATTCCATCGACTCATTTGCCATGCTAGCAGATTCTTTCGTAAAGGTGCCATAAAAGTCGCAACAAGGAAATCGAACCTTTTTAAAGTACAACAAAGGGATAACGAAATGCTGAGGGAATTCGTGTCCCGATTTCAAATAGAACGCATGGAGTTGCCACCGGTAACAGATAATAGGGCCATTTAAGATTTCAACCAGGTGTTGAACGAGCGAAGTTTGATAGCATCACGTCGGTTGAAACAAAATTTGATCAAATATCTAGTTGTAACTTGGGCAGATATGCACAATCGATATCAGTCAAAAATCAGGGTCGAAGATGACCAATTAGGAGCTCCTTCCGGATCAGTACATCCAAATAGGTCGGTTATTAAAAACAAGAGAGACATCGGCGGAGAGCCAAGGTCGAACAGAGACCGACATCAACCATACACCACAAATCGAAGGAACAATGGTTTGGGATGCAATTCCACCCGGAACAATCGAAGGAGTGATCAAGGATAGAATTCTTGGTGACTTATGAGCAAAAGTGGTTTCGACAAATATGTTGATCCTATAGAGGCACCTCGATTATCAAAATATAACTTTAGCATTGATGCATCGGGCATTGTATCGGCAATCGAAAGGATCAAGGATACTAGGTGGCCCAGACCCATGCAAACTGATCCTTCACAAAGAAACCCAAATTCAATGTGCAAATATCATGGCACACATCGCCACAAGACCGAGGATTGCAGACAATTAAGGGAGAAGGTAACCCGTCTATTCAATGAGGGCCACCTTTGAGAGTTCCTCAACGATCGAGCCAAGAACCATTTCAGAGAGAGAGACGCCAACGGAAAAAATGAATAGGAGGAACCTCAACATATCATTCATATGATCGTCGATGGGGTCGACACTCCACATGAATCCATACTCAAACGCACAAAGATAACGATCACTAGAGAAAAATGAACCCTAGATTATGTGCCCGAAGACATTTTATCATTCAACAACGAAGAAGCTGAAGGCATCTCTCAGCTCCACAACGACGCTCTGGTAATTTCTATCTTATTAAATAAAGTTCAAGTTAAGCGTGTTTTAGTGGATCTAGGTAGCTCTGCAAATATCATCCGATCGAGGGTCGTGGAGCAGCTCGGTCTGCAAAATAAAGTCGTGTCCGCAGCTCGGGTCTTAAACGGATTCAATATGGCCAGTGAAACAACTAAATGGGAGATTATTCTACCGGTAAACGTGGCTGAGACCATCCAAAATACCAAGTTTCATGTAATCGAGGATGACATGAGGTACAATGCCCTACTCAGAAGGCCTTGGATCCACAATATGAGGGCGGTACCTTCGACTCTCCACCAAGTAATAAAATTCCCGACGTCGGATGGTGTAAAAACAGTGTACGGGAAGAAGCATGTTGCGAAGGAAATATTTGTTGTCGATGAGGTAACGCCGATATCAACACTATCAACCTCGGAAAGGTCAAGCATCAAAGGTAAACGAGAAGTTAAATAGCAATCACAGCCGCCAGCCTCGACCGAATCGGGGAAGTGGGAAATAGAAGAAGAGGAGGAGGATTTTCTGACCCCTCAAACTTTTATCATCCCCAAAGATTCTGACGCCACTAAATCGGCGGTCGAAGAGCTGAAACATGTTATATTGATCGGGCATCTGCCCGAGAGAAAGGTATATCTAGGAACGGGATTGACCCCCTAACTCAGGAAAAAATTTATTCAATTTCTTATCGATAACATAGATTGTTTTGCTTGGTACCATTTAGACATGACAAGGATCCCACCATCGATAACAATGCACCGGCTGAGCCTGGACCCTAGGTTCAAACCGGTGAAACAAAAAAGAAGACCTCAGTCTGAGGTAAAGCACACATTCGTAAAGGATGAGGTAACTAAACTTCTCAAAATAGGGTCGATTCGGGAAGTAAAATATCCTGAATGGTTACCCAATGTAGTTGTAGTCCCTAAAAAAGGGAACAAACTTAGAATGTGTGTAGATTATAAGGATTTAAACAAGGCGTGCCCCAAAGATTCTTTTCCAATGCCTAATATCGATCGCATGATCGATGCCACGGCCGGTCACAAGATCCTTACTTTTCTCGATGCCTATTCTGGGTACAATCAAATTCAAATGAACCCGGAGGACCGAGAAAAGACTTCATTTATCACCAAGTATGGAACATATTGTTATAATGTAATGCCCTTCGGGCTAAAAAATGCAGTAGCTACTTACCAACGCCTAGTAAATAAATGTTCGAAGAACAAATAGGTAAGTCCATAGAATTTTATATTGATGACATACTAGTTAAGTCCCTGCGCATAGAGGACCATTTGACTCATTGTCAGGAGACGTTCAAGATTTTAAGGAAATACAACATGAAGCTCAACCCCGAGAAATGTGCTTTCGGGGTTGGTTCGGGCAAGTTCCTTGGCTTCACGATATTGAATCGTGGAATCTAGATCGACCCCGATAAGATCAAGGCCATCGAAGACATTGCCGTCGTGGATAGTGTAAAAGTCATGCAAAAGCTAACCGGACGGATAGCCGCCTTAGGCCGATTCATTTCGAG